CCCTAGAATCACCCAGAGATTCGGTCCCTAAATGCCCGTATCTCAACAATGCTCGTGCTCAAAATGTTCGCTTGGAAACAAGGTCAACCCGTTGATCAACTAGAGGTGCTTCGTGGAGTCTCCCAAGCATTTCCCGCAGATTTCCTCTTTTTTCTCCTCTTCTTGCCGCCGTCTTTCGTTTGAAGCATCCCGCTCGGCCTGCACTTGCTCTCGAGGCGGCCCCCATTGTTACTGAGCCCCCACCCCCCCGGTGTCGCCTCTTCTGCAGCGTCCTTCCCCACCTCCTCTCCCTCTACCACTTCCACCTCCTCTTTTGCCTCGACCGCTTCCACCTCCTCTTTTGCCTCGATCGCTTCCACCTCCTCATGTACCTTTGCCGCGCCCGCAGCCACTGCCTCTGCTTCGACCGCCCCCACCTCTTCTTGTGCCTCTGCCACGCCCGCCCCACCTCTTCCCAGCCAAGGGTGGAACATTGTCACGTCCACTTCCGCCAATGGTTCCTCGAAGCCCGGGATTCCGTGCTTAAAACTTTCGCGAAAGCCCCAAGCCGTTTTAACCGCACTGTGCAGGCACCGCATGATGCCGTCTTTGGCCAAACTTGTCACCCAGCAAACCTTTGGATAATGTCGCACTCGCAAACGCGCGAGCGTTTGGTTTCATTTGGCACATACAGAGTCGAAAGATTGAGACCGCCCCATGGTATCACCAGCATACCCTAGAGCAGTAATTTCCACGTGCAGCGATCTTTGGACAGGAACGGAACTGACTCGATTCGTGCCTTCCTCCGGCCAGCTGCTTGGCGCTCTGGTCGGCGCTCCCCCACGAAAGCGATGCCCATCCTCGAGGATGGCGTGGTACTCTCGATTCGTGTGCGTCTGCCAGGACCTGTGGTACCAACAAACGCGCTGCCCATACAAGCAGAAGAAAAGGTACACCCGCACCCCCCGTCACGTGCGCGTCTTTCCAATCAAGGAGGCACCCTAGTTTGTCAGGGATCGGCTGGACAGCATCCAAACCGCCGCAAGCACTGTAGGCCTCCGAGCCCCCGTACGGTTCCCCAGCAGCGAAGCAACCGCTCCGTGATCGTCCGCGCAATCGATCCCGCTCATTTGGCGTGCGCCTCGTCCCACTGCGACTGGATCGTAGAACGCGTCGTCTCTTCTAGCGGGTTGGCGATCACCACATCTCTTCTTATTGAGTCAACTGGGACCCCAAGTTAATTTAGGAGCTCGTAGAGGTATTCACATGGGATACCTTCCGTCATCCAAGCTGGTCGATCTCAAGTCCTTCCTAGTCCAATCTTTTGTCTACCAGACCAGCATGCACCGACCTAATAGCCTCCAAGAGCCGCTTCCTTGTGACACCATGACCGGAGCTCCGAGGGGCAGAATTTGCAGGGTGGTAGCGGGCGCCGTATCATTGTTGAGATTCTGGATTTCGTGTGCGCGATCTCTTGGGTGACGTCGACGGTAGTTCGACGACAACCGGTATTTAGCGGTTGGCGGTTAAATGCGCGTAACTCGCGCTACACCCGAATGACTTATTGAGATAACCGCCGTTGTAACGTGCTGGTAAAGCCCCGAGCCTGTGATGCTCAGAACCCCCAACACAAAGTTAGCGGAAGCTTGGATTGTACGCGGCGGACACTCAACACTTGGGAAGGATTGTGAAACTCGCTTCTGGCTAGAAGCCAGCGTGTTGAATGAGCAACTTTCGTCCGACCTTATAGATGTGCTCATTGCAATTCAAGAGCCAGCAGAATGTTGGTCGCTCCATCCTAGAGGCCTGCATCGTCTTGCCTCACTCTATAACGTGAGATACATTCGCTTTTGCACTCTAGGTTATGCATCTGGCGTGCAACTGGTTATGCAACCTTTTGCCAGCTAGAGTGTCCAGGTTTCCTGCACAGCCTGTCGCTGTCGCGCCTAGAAACCTCCAATGACGCCGCGCTTATGTCGCCGCCGTCCCAGAACACCGCCTGCAAGGCATTCCAAAGGAAGCTGCTTTGTGATTGGTTGAGCTAAGGAAAATGGCGTCCTTAGTTTTAACGCCTGCTTTCTAAAAGTGACCTCAGGTCGTTTTCAGCTCGCTTTGAGCTTGAGGAAGGCGAGCGCCCTAAACGCGCTTGGCGGCGCGCCCGTCGCGCCCTCAAAATCGCGCTCATTATTGCCAACGACATCCGGGATCGGCGGACTTTCCGGCTGCGAACATTAAACTAAAAGCGACTTATTTCGTACAGCCGTCGCTAAATTCGAGTGCAAATAATTGACTCGACGATTCGCATACTGGTGCGTGTGCGATGTAAGATCAACCTTCGTTCAAAGAGACCCAAGGCACAGTGTTGAAGCAATGGATCAATTTGGGCCGTCGAATCAATTTGGGCCGTCGAATAAATCAAGTAAAAAAAATTCCGGGCGCAATCTCAATATTTATAGAGCCGTCGATTTGCAAGCTCAAATGTACCGTTGATAAAGCAACGACTTATAGACTCGATTGAATTCACTTGAAGTCGCATTCAAGCCTTCAAGACTGAAGCCTAGCTTAGATGTACATTCGCTACCAGGTACATTGTACTCAGAAGTAGGAGTTTCTTTTTCTAGTTGTAAGAATTTAAAGGAGAAAAATAGAAGCGCAGATCGTTACAGCCATAATGAGTAAGTTCGATAATAGCCGTAGATATTCAGATTTGCGCGAAACTTTCGGACTTGCTTATCCGCGGTCAACTGAGCCTACTAGGCTACTAGTGTAGACCTAGAGTAGGAGTGTGACTCTACTTGAGTGAGTCTAGCATAGCACACAGACTGTGTT